GTGTGTGTGTGTGTGTGTGTGTGTGTGTGTGTGTGTGTGTGTGTGTGTGTGTGTGTGTGTGTGTGTGTGTGTGTGTGTGTGTGTGTGTGTGTGTGTGTGTGTGTGTGTATGCTCTTTACCAGATCTGTCGATTAAATCAACTAATCGTGTTCGTCAACATCAATTTTCTTTGTTTGCGGGTCCTAATTTTCTGCTTGTCGGTCATCTGTGAAGCTCTTTGTACCGCACTAACCTGTAAGAAAGGTGCTGCTATACGTTTCATCTATTGACTCAGAAATGCTTTGTTTTTGCATTATAGGTGCACAGAAATCTGTGCCTGCTGCCAAACTTTGCATTCTCCACTGCACTTTGCCATTTCCATCTCAGTCAGCAGGAAGATGTGGATCCTGAAGAAAGTGAGAAAGAAAGACAAAAAGCTGACCAGATGCTGCAGAAAGCTCTCATCATGTTCCCCGGAGGTTAGACCACCAGCCTATGGATATTTAAACAAAACTCCCCCTCAGTCACTTCTTCACATTGTTTATGCCATGACTCAAAATATCTCTGTAATAAAGTAGGGATTACATGCCATCCACTTCAATTAAGTTGTTAACGTGCACTTTCACCCACATATGTTGCTGTAAATGTGTTTCCTGCAGTGTTGATTCCTCTACTGGATCTGTGTACTGTGCAGCCTGATGCCACAGTCAGCTCACATGCCTTCTTTGGCCCAAAGAGCCAGATTGGGTAATGTATGCTCCCTTTGTTTTGATTATCATGCAATTTAACCCTTTTATATTAATGTAGCACGGTATCATTTATTATGCAGTAGCTTTAAACTATAACGCATTCATCATATTCCTGCTATGAACCTTTTCATGGCCTATAACCTATTGTTATCCTCATTTTGTATCCATTTAGCTTTTCCGTTACCCTAACCCTACCCTCTCTGTCTCTAGGCAGCCCCCAGCCCTGGCTGAACTGACTGCTCTGTATGTGGGGAGGACTCACAGCATGTGGAGGGAGGCAGCAGTAATGCTTTGGTTGGAAGAGTCTGTGAAAGAGGTGCTGCGTCGAGTTGATGCCAAAGACCCTCTGGTAGACGACTGCCAAAACAAGTAAGATCTCGTTGAGCTGCTCTGCTGTCATATTTCTGTGCAATCATGCTCCATATGTTAGCATAACTCCCATCACTCTGCGTTATCAGAAAGCAGAGGTACAAGTGTGCACCGAGGAACATCCATCGTCACGTCCTCCTCTCTGAGATCAAAGAAGCCACCTCAAGTCTGCCTCTAGTAAGAAACGATCAGCCACCGCACTTAAACACAATTCACTTCATCCAAGATGTCCTCAGTCCGGCCATCAGTAGACGTTAGAGGTGTGATGGGAATCAATAGGGATCAAAATCGTGTCAATGTTCTTATGCACTCTTAAGGCCTTCCAAATGTCCTCACAAGCCAAATGAGTTTGATTAATTAATAATCAAACTACAAGAAACGTTCGGCCTCCCTGAGGTCCCAATCTGAGATTGTCTTGATGTAGATTTTGAGATTTTTTGAGTGCTTGCTCCGATGCTGCCTAATTTAATGGAAGTGTAATATTTTATACTTAAAGATAACCAATATTGAATTAAAGACCTGGATTTTTTTTTAATAGTGTGTGTTTATTTATATATATATATATATATATATATATA